TGTGAACAACATGTTTCTAAAACACGTGCTCCTAAATTGTAATTCCTTTCCTACATTTAACCTACGAGCGCTTCACAGCTAGTTCTGTTGTCATTCATATTCTGTGTAACTATTGCAATCTACCTCACTATTACAACCCTACCAACAAGTTACCTTGAGTTTTTTGTTTGCTTGGTTGTCTTAGGGCTTAGCTGGGTTTGGGTTTGGTTTTTCTTGTTGTTTTGGATTTTTCTAGTTTGGTTTGCTTTAAACCAGCTTTCCTGTATGGATTTAAACATGATCACATGAAAGTTGAGATGAATTTTGCTACTGTTTATAATTCATCTGTGATACCTTTTTTTTCTCCCCCCAGGAACACTAACAGATTAAGACATTTTTCTCATTAAATAACAGTTTTCTAATGTAGGTCAATGATTCTGCCTGTCTAAGGAGATATTTAAGACAACAAAAAAAAAATGTTTCCAAAACGCACTTAAAAAAGCCTTATAATGTTTCCTACCACACAGAAATTAAAGTATTTTAGTCTAAATTTCTGAAATTAAGGAATCTGCTCAGTTAAAACACCTTCCAAAGTTTATTCTTCTCTTGCAGGCTGGACTAGTCTGCCAAAAGGCACTTCTCAGGGTTAAAGTTTTCAATTACTAGCAAAAGTATGGGTTTTTTTTTTCTTGTTTAAATGTTAACTGCTGGGTACAAGAGATTACAGGGCTCTCCTCTGTCATCATTGATCAAAGTTGTTATCTTGGTGTTCTAGCAAACTTAAGCAAATTCTTCATTTTGTAGTAAGTGCACTTCAGGAAAGCCGTTTGGAAAAGAAAAAAAAAATGCACGCAATAGCCTCATCAGCTTTATCCAATAAACTCAAAAGTTCATGTAACTGAACCCATCACCTTGATAAACACCTGGGCATTTACCTTAACTTTCTGAGAAGCTGGTGTACCGAGAAAGTAGGACACAAATTAAAGTGACCTAAGAATCTCCAGGACTTTTCCCAGGAATTTCCCTAGGAAACCAGGACTTCTGGTCCAGTGACAGCAAATGCTGTCACCTACCCTTTAATTTTACCGCAGGGCCACCTCCCATTTCTCTTATAACTACTTGTAACACACAATTACAATTCTCTCTATTTGACCTGGAGAAATGCAGTCAATTGTTTGCGAGCAAGCAATTTCTACAACAATGCTTACCCAGATGTCTGATCAGTCACTCAAGATTTTGCTGTTCACACAGATTAGAAAGGTCACATTCTGTAAACAGTCTCAGTACGTGCAAGTCATAAGATCCGAGATACCTGATAAAAATTACAGCTTCAGTGATAATTTGTTTCAGACACTTCAGTTTCCAAATCAAACGTGAAAGGAGTGAAGTGCCCTGGAAAGGATGTATGCTTTGTTTCTCTTTTTCAATGGAACACTAATATATACCACTGTCTAGTACCTTGTGGAATAACTGAATGATTTTAATTTAATTTCGACATAAAGACTTACTCTGCCCACAGGACTCATTGGATGAGCAGCATAATCTGATGTCAGATTATAGTTAGTTGCTTCACATATCACGCTTACTGGTCGCTCTTTCTTTTCTTCAGATGTCATTGCAGTAGCAGTCCTGAAAATAGAATAGGTAATAGCACTAGAACATGCTGTGTGTGCAGACTGCTATTAAAAAGCACCCCTAAATGTAGCCTAATAGGCTCAGCCTGTGTCCTACTTTTCCAATTTGAAAGCAATTCACACTTCATTGTAAAGTTACCTGTACTGTGTTTTAAACTTAAATCTATTATAGATTATTTTTAAGATGTTTTAAAATAGGATTTCTCTATTAGCATAAAGTGTTGGTGGGAGGGAAAAAGACAGGTATGAACATGAGATGGAAATGGGAAGAAATGCTCTGCAAAGACCCCACACAGCTTTGTCCCAATTCAGTGAGAAAATGCACATTTGTGAAATTTCACATACTGCAGTTCCGACAGTTTTCACTCCAGGCACCATACAACATGTTGCAGCAATGGTGGTGAGCAGGACACCCAATACCCAGCCACGTATAAAATCCTGAGGTCAGGTACGACTTCCATGCATACCTTCTCATATTACCATGTATTCTACAAAACTAATGCAAAGATAGCAAAACCAAGTTATTACCCAATGATTCAGTCAGTGTCTCAACTGGCCAAGAAAATAACCGACTGAGGAGAAACTATCAGGCAAAATATAATAGAATAAAGACACGTGATTGTCCCTAAGTTATTAAAAAATTTATTCTTCTTTGGAAGTTTATTGGATTATTATATAATATATAAATTGGTTGCTAACACTACAAGTGACAAGTAGAAATCAACACAGTGCATAAACATGGTACATTTCCACCATATAACCAATTTGGGCTATGTTTTTTAACTTAAAAACCAGTACTAAATATTTAATATTATCTTCAAGTAATTTAAACAAGTAAAACATTATACATGCTAATTTGAAAAAATAAATTCAATATTGCAGTTAGCAAACACTGAATCTTACTTCAGTATTAACAAGTTTTAAAATATGTATTATATAGGCTGAAAGAGATGCCACTTACTGTTCATTCACAACAAAAATACAGTTGTCCTGCGATGGCTGTCCTGTTACTGGATGTTTGCAGGTTACTTTTCGTTCATTATGACTGCAGAAGAGAGATAAGGCAAATTATTGGGCAATAATTTTTTGATTTTCTAACTCAAGTATATAAATCCAGTACATCGAGTCTATCAGTCCAGTGAAAATAATTATGAGTATTTCATTACAGTCTATAACAATGTATGTGTACACACACACACATAGATACACAAACTAATAAAAAGGATGATACAAGTATTAAAGAATCTTCATTAAAACTCTGGAAAGAGATGGAAAACACTGGCACTGGGTTGGTAATGGTTTTGAATTTAAAAACTAGAGCAGTAAGAGTGTTACTAGTTCATATAATATCATAAATTATTCACTTCAGCTAGGTCTTTATATATCCATAAATGGGATTTCAGCTAGACAGGGACAAGTTAAACATAAGACATAAACAACAACTCTGTAGGAATAAAAAAATCACTACCATAAAAGTAATTATCTTCCAGCTTAGAACATGTTACTAGTTTAAAACTTTCTGATTTTACAGACAAATATTCAGTGACAGGAATAAGAGTGACGCTTCACAACCACAGCTCTACTTTAATTCAGAGTGCACCTCCCCTGCAGCGATCTTGCGAGCACCCGCAAGCTGCCGGGAGCCTGCGGCTGAGGGCTTCACCCTCATCAGCGCAAAATGCTCACCTTGCAGTACCTCGTTCCCCTGAACTGCAGGTGTTGTTCCATCACAGCAGCTCCCACAATGTGCAAGAAAATGCCAAAATTCACTAACTACCAGCTGCTGCCCCTCAACACGGAAATGTTTGGATTTGAGCCCTCCAGCCCCAGAGGGGAAGGAAGAGCAGGGGTGGGATAGCCTTTACTGCCTACCAGATACCTAGCGGCAAGGTCTCAGTCCTGGTCACACCACGAGCACACCAGAGAGTGTGGAGCTGCCACCGGCAACCACGAGAGGCAAGGGGGGCTGAGCTGTGACAGCCCCTCTGAACTCTCCGCAACATAGGAGGAGAGCACGAAAGTGGTCCAGTGATTAAAAAGCACACAAGCAGAAATCAGACCAAGAAAGGGCGATGAGCATCTAACACAGATGTGTGATTTGGATATAGCCCGGATGCTTCGAAACAAACTCACCTCTTCTGTTTTTAACGCTTTAAATAATATATAGATAACCAAGAAAGTATATAATGCAAAACAACAGTATCTGAAATCAGCACTGTAAATCATGAAGAAAGTAATTTCATTTGATAGTATTTACTTTTGTAAGTAATGTGTAATGTAGTGATAATCACATCACCATGTGATGACTTTTTTTTTCCATGAAAGATATATAATACTACTCCTTTCTCATCTGAAAAATATTCTTGGACAGAAAACAAACCTGGACTAAAACAAAGTGGTTTAGTTGCAAGATAGCAGAAAAGGTGCAGAACAACAAAAGCTTTGAATGCCACTTTGTCCTTAACAGCTACTTCTTTTATTGCCTATTCATTTAAGCTTTTTAGCTTTCAAAACTATGAGGCATGGCTCATCTCGCTTCTTAAAACAACCTAGACTTAAGTATCTTAACATTCCCCAAGTTTCTTGAAAATTCCTTTGGATGGTCACGTTTTGCAATTTTGGAGCCTTACTAACTTCCACCATACAAAAGCCTAATAAAATAGTCACAGTACTTTCATGAACAACACAGTTGGATAAACTTGCATAAAAGTTAAATGCAAGATTAGAAAGATAGCCCAATTCTTTGCATTTTCTTTACTGCGATTTTAAAAACCTACTGCTACCTAAAGGGACAGACGTGTTTTGCAGCTTAACTAATGAGCTAAAACTCCGGTACTTTATCTTCACACTAAATTCATAAGAATTATAATTTAGCTTCTAAAGCAGCTTCTGTTGCAGAAATACATCTGTTACAGTGAGGGGACAGAAGAGATGGCTGGAGTATGTCTGTGCATTCCTAACTGCCATGGGCCTACAACACCTTTCAAGTTAAAATGGCCCAGATTGAAGAGAACTAAAATTCAAAATAATCCTGAGGAAGCATCCAGGTGGGGGTGAGGTTTTTTTTGGTGATCCCTCTTTTTCTTAACTTCCAAAAACTTTCTTTTCGTTCCTCAGACATTTCAGAAACTCTCACACCAAACAAACAAACAAAATTTAGAGAGATGAGGTGGCACGGCACAGGCTTTGCCAAAATGTTGATGTTAAACCTTGACAGCTGGCTGTCAAGTGACATCCAGAAGTGTGGAAATAAATGGATCAGGACTTCTGCTCAAGGACCATTAAGAGTCAGGACCGCTACAGTAGGCACATCCCACATTCTGTGTGAAAGCACCCGGCTCACACCAACGCAGTAAGAGGCAACACTGCAAGACCCGAAAGGGGAGGTCATACGCAACCAGGAGGGAGAGCAGCAAGGGGCAGGAAAAGAAGGGAGAGACAGGAGAGGAAGCACTGACACAAACCTGTTCAAGCAAATTCTGTTTCAGGCTTGAGTCACGTAGCCAGTCAGTATTCCAAAAATATCAAAACATTTTTGGACAAAACACAGTTTTCCTTACGATTCCCACTGATTTTGAGATGTATATAGGTGTAGCTGACATTATATAAAAAAGGCAAAAAAATACCGTAGGCATGAAACACTTTCCCGTTGGATATTACAATACTTTCTAGCATTTGAGAGACCTTTATAGTCACTTCCTTCCAAAAAGACGAGGCAAAGAAAAAACAATCTTTTTCTCTTCAGCTTACACGCAAGTGAAATCTTACGACTGAACACTGGAAATTCAGCTTGTACAACTCAGCGGTGCAAGAACTATAAATACGTCTAACTGGAGTAACAGATCTTAAATACTTCCATTTGAAAACTTTTTCATTACTCATCTGAATCATTGCATTTTTGGCGTTAATTTAGCTGATATTTTGACAAGATTCCTCAAAATACTTGCGTAAGGTGTAGAGGCGCTTTATAATTATTGTCATAACCGTCCCACGTAACAGTAAGTTAGGGCATTTGTTTTAAACTCGATCTTGCAGACTACAGAGACTTTCATTAAAACCGATCTACCATTTGATAGTCACAATCCTCAACATTCGACTTAGACAGTTGTTCAGTAATTCATGAATTTCTGGGTACAGACAGATGCTTAGTATTTCATATTTTACACTATACTAGTACGTACCTCATCAATAAAGCTCAGGGGAAATACAGCAAAAAAAGGTTGTTTTTTGTTTTTGTTTTTTTTTTTCCCCCGAGAACTCTAATTCCAATTTTATACAAGCTCCAGTATGCAACTCAGAGTTTCAGCTCTGCATATGTATGTGTCTGTACTTTTATTATGTGGTAAAGAGTGATTCACTTTGACACTGGCAGCTAGAAGCCAGTGTGTTAACTGCTTGCTTATGCAGAGATACAGCCTCCAAGAGCTATGGGGAAGCAACATCCCCCTTCCTTCCCTCTCCAATCAATTTTTCATATGAACATCTTTCGAGAACAATACACACACACACTGTTGCACTTCTATTGAAGTATAGAACTGACCCTTACTAGTTTAGCATCCATAGTTAGGTTGTGTTAAATGGCATGCTAAACACTAGAGCTTAAGTGGAAAAAATTCCCTATGTATTTTATTAGTATTCATGAGCATACTCCCCAAACTCAGTATGTGGCATGAACTATTCCTCATTAATATTTGCTGCTGGGATGTGTTGCGCTCCAGAAATTGACACAGCTGACTAAGATGACATAAGAGATAAGCATTTCAATGCAAAATAAAATATAGTTCTTGCATATATGAAGACAATATTCTGTTCTTAATTCCAGTAGTGGCCCGGGACAGTGACCTGCTATAAAAAGATCCAACCAAACCAAAACAAACCAACAACAAATAAAAAATCCTCCACAACACAAAACCCTAACCACAGCAAAACAGCTGAAGCAGGGACAAGTTCCATTTTTAACCATCTCAGTGCAAGACAACCAA